TGATCCCACATTTCCATAGTGATATCACTAACCCACTGTGAAATTCCAATCCTCTCACACCCAATCCAGGTATGAAATGTGATACCCGAATCCAGTGTGACATTTAGATCATAGTGACATCACACTGATAGATGTTAAGAGCATTTTGTCACATTCTGACAACACACACCTGGTAGGACTTCATCACTTTTGTGACAACGCATGCCTTTGGAGATACCACAGTCCCTTTATGAGCTCATATACTCATTGTGAGTTAATGACAATTGAGATCACAAGTGTCATTTTGATATCACCAACCCATTTTGACATCACACACCTCTTGTAAACATCACTAGTGTGGCATCACCAATTGTGATATGAAAACCTTATTAAGTTATCATATTGCAACATCACATTGCCATTATTATATCACTGTTCCATTGTGTTTTCTAAAACCTAGTATGTCTTCATAGCATTTTAGAAAATTCATGGTCTTTTATACTTCAGTCTTCTTCTGTGAACTCATATCCTCATTGTGAAATAGTAGCAACTGAAATTGGACATGTGATTTTGAGGTATGACTTCACAAAACTATTTGATTTCATTACCATTTTGACATCCAAACCCATTGAGAACTTTCATTACCATTTGACATCACTATCACATTTTGACATCCCAAACCTATTAAGACCTCTTAGCACCTTTGATAAAAACATATGACCTTTGTGACATCACAGTCGCTTTGTGTAACTATACCCTCATTATGAACTTCCAATTGGTATCAGACATGCCATTGTAATATCACGAACCCTTTGTGGCATCACCAGTGTGACATAACATTTTCATTATGACAGCGTCAACTACTTTTGATATCACAAAAGTACAATGACAAGATAGCATTATGAGATCACATTGTCATTGTGAAGTTACAGATAGATTGTGAATGCTTATTTTTAATTGTTTTTTTTTCCGGTTGTGGGGTTTGAACTCTGGGCTTGGTTGCTGTCCCTGCTCTTCTGCTCTAGGTGAGCACTTTATCGCTTGAGCCACAGCACCACTTCTGGTTTTCTAGTTGTTTTTATTGGAGATGAGTCTTATGAACTTTCCTGCCTGAGCTGGCTTTGAACTGCGATCCTCAGATCTCAGCCTCCTGAGTAGCTAGGATTACAGGTGTGAGCCACCAGTGCAAAGCTATTTCATTCTATTGCAAATTTGACATATGTGTTGATATCAGAAACATAATGTGACCTCATAACCATTGTAACATCATAAATCAGCAGTGACATCAAATTGTCATTATGACACCATCAACTCATTGTGACATCACCAAACAACAATGGCATCATAGCAGTATAAATCACAGTGACATTGTTACATCATAGACGTAACATTGTAAAGGCTTATTGTATGAATTCATTCTATTTCAGAAACCCATTTTGACAATATATAACCATTCTGATATCACAATACATTGTGACATCACATTGCTATTGTGATATCATTAACCTGCTGTGCCATCACAAACCAGTCCTGTCCTTATAAGTTTTGTGCCATGCTGCCCTCGTTATATATTAGGTCCTTGTGAGCTCATAATCTGTTCTCAATCTCATATTTCTGGTATGACATGTGATATCAGAAATCCCCTGTGACATCATATTGCCAGATTTCATGAATATTGTGTCACATTGTGACATCACAAAACTGTTAGAACAGCATTACGTTTGTGACAACACATGCTTTTGGAGACATTACAGTCACTTTTTGAACTCATATATTCATTCCCAATTAATGACAGTTGAGATCTGCCATGCCACTCTGACATCATGAACTCATTGTGACATCACAAATTTATTGTGCTCATCACGAGAATGGCATCAACAACTAATTGTGGTATGAAATCATTATTTTGACATTATATTGTGGTATTGCCGTCGTGACATCATTGTTCCATTGTGTTTTTACAAACCTACTATGGCGACATCACATCTTAGAAAATTCATGGTCTTTGAGATTTCAAGCTTTTTTCTGTGAACTCATGTACTTATGACCCCTAAAGCAAGGACACAAGCCATTGAGTCAAATTTAATATAATAAAACAATTTACAATAGAAAGGGGACTGTGATTACCTTATCCTGGACTGGATACCCAGGTCCAAGATCATCCTTGACCAACAAACCTCAGAACTTCAATGGGCACCACCACCCTTTTTAATTGGTCTGCAAACCACCATCCAAAAAATTATGATCTCCAAAGCTCCAAACCTCAATGGGCAAGGCTTTTTACTTTTCCATTCCTCCCTCCTTCACTACAAAGCTGTCCTTCCTTCCTGGTCTTTCCCTTTATCCCTTCCACCACTTCCTTCTTCTCTTCCACTCTCCTCCACTCTCCACAGGCCTGCCCTACTCTGCCCCCGTGACCACTTGCCAACCTTCTGCTCTCCATCAACTTCCTCTCTTCTCAGATTTTTCTCTTTATTCCATCCAGGTAGCACCCATTTTTATTTCCCCTTCCAATGCTCTGAAAATGCAACCTATATATAGGTTTACCTCTCTTTACTCTAACGGGTCTTCTGCCTAACAGTTTTCAACAATCACTTCCCAAACTGCCCAATGCTCAATCACTCCTTGACAGCTCACCATGTGAGGCTTGACACTTCACCTTTGGCGGCATTCCCCACACTCTCCGGTGGGCCAGGCCAAGAATTTACAATGATTATCAGCTCAGACAGATAATTCTGGCCCCACTGGTTATTACATTATCCTCATAGTGAATTAGAAGAAATTGAAATTGTATATGTCATTGTTATATTACAAACTTGATGAGACATCACTAAACCATTGTGACCTAATCACCGTGGTGACATCACAAACTCATTGGGATATCACACTGACATTGTGCCACCATGATCACATTGTGACATCCCAAACCTATTATGACCTCAGAAGCTTTGAAAGAAAGCATGGCCTTTGCGAAATCACAGGCCTTTTGGTATCCATACCCTTATTTTGAGCTAATGACAATTGAGATGAGACATGTCATTTTAACATCGCAAAACCTTTATGACATCATCACCAGTGTAATATCACAATGTCATTATGACAACATCAGCCCATCATGACATCATAAAACAATGACATCATAGCATTATGATATCACATGGTCATTGTGATGCCACAGACACATTGGAATGCCTATTCTGTGATTTCATTCTATTTCAAAAGTGGCAGGTTTGTTGATATCAGAAATACATTGTGACCACATAATGTTTATGACATCACAATACCTTGATGACACCATATTGCAATTATGATATCACTAACCCACTGTGACATCACAAACTTTCTTATTCTCATAAATTTTTGACATGCTTCCAGTGTGATCCCTTTGGCCTCTCTGAGTTCATAAATTGTTTAACTCATGATACTTCAGGTATGACATGTGATATCAGAAATCCACTGTGACATCATGACCACTGTGACACACTGCCAGATATCATGACCACTGAGTCACATTGTGACATCACAAACCTGTTAAGACTCATGACACTTGTGCCAACATATGCCTTTGGATACATCATTAACCCTCCTGAACTTATATATTCATTGTCAATTAGAGATCTGGCATGAGATTTTGACATCACCATCTCATTGAGAAATCACAAACCTATGTGACCTCATCACCTGTATGGCATCACCAACAATTTGTGACTTCAAAACAATACTATCCCATGTAATGGTAACATCACATTACCAATGGGATTTTCACCATTGCATTTTCACCAACCAATTATTTCCTCATAATATTTTACAAAATTTATGGTCTTTCTGACTTGAAGCTCCTTATGTGAACTTGTATCTTCATTGTGATCTAGTAGAATGAAATTGGACATGTAATGGTGATATTACAAATTCATTGTGACACCATTATCCAAGTGTGACCTTATCACCACTGTGACATCACAAACCCATTGTGACATCACATTGCCACAGTGATATCTCGGTCACCTTGTGACATCCCAAATCTGTTGTGACCTCTTAGCACTTTTGAAAAAGCACATGGTACTTGTGACATCACAGTCCCTTTGGGTAACCATATCCTCATTGTGAACAAAGGACAACTGACATCAGACATGCCATTGTAACATTACAAACACTTTGTCACATCATCTCCAGAGTGAGATCACATTGTTGTTATGATACCATCAAATCATTGTGACATCCCAAAATGACAATGACGTCATAGCATTATGACATCACATTTTCATTGTTAGGTCATAGAGACAATGTGATTGCCTATTCTGTGGTTTCATTATATCTCTAATGTGACATATAGGTTGATTTCAGAAACCCATTGTGACCACATCACCATTGTGATATTACAATCCCTTTGTGACCTCATATTGACATTGTGATATTATTAATGCAATGTAACATCACAAACCTCTCGTCCTCATAAATTTTGTAACAAGTGTCTACCTTGACCTGGGCTAGATGCCCACAGCTAAATGCAGCTTCAACCATGAACCCTCAGACCTCCAAAGAGCAGCAAAACTATTTGTTATCTGGCCTGCAAATAAGCAACCCCAAAAATAATGATCTCCAAAGCTCCAAACTTCAAAGGACAAGGTTTTTTTCTTTCTATTCATCCTCCTTCTCTACAGACCTGTCCTACCTTTCAGGTCTTTTCATTTTTTTCCTTTCACCATTCCCTTCTTTTCTTCAGGCTTCTCTACTCTTGACAGGCCTGCCCTGCCCTGTCCAGGTGGCCAGTTGCCATCCTTCACCTCTTGGTCTCCCTCAATTTCCTCTCCTCCCAGGTTTTTACCCTCCTGCAGTCTCTTTACTTCTTTCCTTCCAGGCCTTTCCCTCTTTTCTCTCCCCTTCTGTTGCTCTGAACCTGCAGCCTATGTATAGGCTGTACCCTTCCCCCACTGCAGTATGTTTCCTGCATAACAGTTTTCAATCATCACTTCCCAAATGTCCATGCCCAATCACTTCATGGCAGCTCACAATGTGGGGCTTGACAACCTATCTCCTTCAGCAGCATGTGCTGCTCCTTTCAGCTGCATGCACCCGCCTCTCCTGTGGTCCAGACCAGGAGGCCATGATGACTATCTGTTCCCATGGATGATAGGGTCACTGCTGGTTATTAAGTGTATCATGGTGATCTAGGAGAAATTGAAATTGGACAAATTTGTGATATTACAAACTCATGATATAATTAACCCATTGTGACCTCACCAACACTGTGACATCACAAACACATTGTAACATCACATTGCTGTTTTTGACACCAGGATCACATTGTGACATCCCAAACCTATTATGACCTCTTATAACCTTTGAAAAAAATACATAGTTTTGTGACATCACAGTCCCTTTGTGTACCCAAATCCCCACCATGAAATATTGACAATTGAGAATCAAACATGACATTTTAACAACAAAAAGTTTGTGAGATCATCACAATTGTGACATCACATTGTAGTTTTGACACCATCTGCTCATTCTGAAATCACAAAAGTAAAATAATATGATAGAATTATAACTTCACATTGTCATTGTGACATCATAGACACATTATGAATGCCTTTTCTGTGATTTCATTGCATTTCAAATGTGGCCTGTAGGTTGATATCATAAACAAATCTTGAATTCATAACCATTGTGACATCACAACCGCTTTGTACATCACATTGTCATTGTGATATCACTAACCTACCATGACATCACAAACCTATCCTGTCATCATAAATGTTGTGACATGCTGCAATTTTTTTAAGCCTTTTTGTCCTCATGATCTGTTGTGGACCTCATTAGATTTCACATATGACGTTTGATATCACAAATTCCCAGTGACATCATGACCATGGTAACATCACACTGCCAGATGTCATAACCATTGCGTCAAATTCTGACATCACAAACCTTTTTGGATTTCAATATATTTGTGACAACACATACTTTTGGAAAAACTACAGTCCTGTGAACTCAGATACTCATTGTAAGTTAAAGACAATTGAGAAACATTATGTCATTTTGACATGCCTCACACATTGTGACATCACCAATCTTTTGTGACCTCATCACCAATGTGGCATCATTAACTAATTGTGACACCAAAATAATATTTTGACATGATGCAGTGTGTTGACATTGCCATGGTGATATTAATGTCCCATTGTGTATTCACAAACCTAATATGGCCTCATAACATTTTTAAAAATTCATGTCCATTAGGACTTCAAGCTCCTTCTGTGAACTTGTATGCACATTGTGAAAAAGCAATTGAAATTGGACATGTGTTTAAGATATTACAAAATCATCATGACATCAAAAACCTATTGTGAACTCATCACAACTGTGTATCATGAAGCTATCATGGCCCCTAAGTACTTTTGAAAACACACATGACATTTGTGACATTTCAGTCCCTTTGTATACCCATATCCTCATTGTGAACACATGACAATTGTATTCATATATGCCATTGTAACATCACAAACCTTTGTTACCCCATCATCAGAGTGACACCATTATCTCCTTGCAACATCACCAATTTACAATGACCTCATAGCATTATGACATTATATTATCATTGTGATGTCATAGATACCTTGTAAATGTCTATTCTATTTCATTCTCTTTCAAATGATGTGGCCTGTGGGTTGATATCAGAAAACCATTGTGGTCTCATAAATGTATGGCATCACAATCACTTTGTGTTATCACAGTGCCATGGTGGTATCACTAACACACTGACATCACAAACTTGACCTGTCCTCATAAGTCTTGTGATGTTCTGCAATTGTGATGTCTTAGGCCCTTTATGAGTTCGTAATCTATTTTCAACCTTATAATATTTCAGTTATGATATGTGATATCAGAAATCCACTGTGACATCATGATCATTGTGACATCATACTGACAGACATCATAAATATTGTGTCACACTGTGACATTACAATCCTCCTAGGACTTCATCACATTTGTGACAACACATGCCTTTGGAGATAGCACAGTCTGTTTTGGAACTCATATTCTCTGTGATTTCATGATAAATGAGATCCTTTATGCCATTTGGATATCACCAACCAACTGTGACATCATAGACCTACTCTGACCCCTTACCTGTAGGTCATCATCAATTAATTGTGACATCAATACCTTTTGTGATGCCACAATGTGACACTATGATCATTACATCTTTCAGTGTGATGTCACAATGGTCATGATGTCACAGTGGATTTCTGGTATCTAATGTCATACATGAAATATGAGGTTGAAAACAAATTATGAGGGCAAAAAGTCTGATATCACAATGTCAGCATGTCACAAATGTTAGGAGGAGAGGAGAAGTTTGTGCTGTCACATTGTGCTAGTGACATCACAATGGCACTGTGATGGCACAAAGTGATTATGATGTCAAAATGGTTATTTAGGCACAAAGATGCGTTTCTGATAGCAACTCTCATGTCACATATGAAATACAATGAAATCACAGAATAGGAATTCACAATATGTCTATGATGTCAAAATGAGAATTGTTGTCATAATACGATTATGTCATTGAGTTTGATTATGTCACAATGAGGTGATGCGCTTATAATGAAAATGTGATGTCATACTGTTGAGGATGTCACAAACACTTTTTGATGTTATAAAGGCATGTCTGCTTTCCATTGTCATTAGTTAACAACAAGGATATGGGTACACAAAGGGACTGATGTTGAAAAGGGCATGTGATTTTTCAAAGAAGCTAAGAGATCATAATAGGTTTGAGATGTCACAAGGGAATCATGTTGTCACAATGACAATGTTGTCACCATGGGTTTGTGATGTCGTGGTGGTGATGATGTCAACATGTGTTTGTGATGTCACAACGAATTTGTAATATCACAATCAAATTTCCAATTTCAATTGCTACTAGTTCACAAGGAGGACACTGTAATAATCAGCAGGGCCCCGATAATCTACAGGCTTAGATAACCAGTGTGGCCCCATCTCCTGGCCAGCTGGAGAGGATGAAGTATGCCACCAAAGACGGTGGGGCATTCTGTGGGAGGGGCTGGGGCATTAATCATCACGTGCTGAGCTGTGGAGAAGTAATTTGACTGTGGGCAGTTTGGGATTTGACAGTTGAAAACTGTTAGGCAGTTGGAGTGAAGAAGGGGTACAGACGTTATATAGGCTTCTGGTTCAGAGCAATAGAAGGAGAAAGAAAAAGGGAAAAGTCCTGTAAGGAAGGAAGTGGTTTGATAGCAGAAGGAGAAAGACCTGGGAGGAGAAGAAGTTGAGGGAGGGCAGGAGGTAAAGGACGGCAACTGACGACCCATTCAAAGCAGTTCAGGCCTGTGGAGAGTGAAGAGGCCTGAAGAGAAGAAGGAACTGGTAGAAGGGAGATAGGGAAAGACCTTGAAGGAAGTATAGTTCTGTAGTGGAAAGACAAAAGAAAGGGTAAAAAAGGCTGGCCCTTTGATGTTTGGAGTTTTGGATTTCATAATTTTGGGGGTTGGTGGTTAGGAGAACATTTATGATATTAAATGTGTCTCTATGGATTCTCTTGAACTATAGAGGTCTTAATTTTTGGAGACCCCCATCGAGATAATCCATTTGGATGGCATCAGGCCTTGGCCTCAGGGAAAAATCCCCATAGGTGAGAGTGTCAGCACTCAGGGTTGAGAGTCTACCTCAAGTGTTTGTCTCCGGAGGAGAATCATGGACAAAAAGTCATTTAGGGTCCTCTAGGGGTGTGTGGGCAAGCTTGCCAGCCTGATTGGGGATCCCCTCTGGAGGTCATCTGTTGGTTCCTTGGGAAGCCATCTGGGAACTCCTTGAGAGGTCATGCAGGGCTTCTTTGGGAAGCCATCTGGAACCTCCTTGAGAGGTTATGTAGCCCTTCCTTGGGATGCCATCTGGAACCTCATCAAGAGTACATCTGCAACTTCCTTGAGAAGCCATCTGAGACCTACCCTGGAGGTCATCTGGAGCCTTCTCCTGGGGCCATCTTAGACTTTCTCCAGAGGTCATTTGGGGCTTCCTCAGGAGGTCATCTGAGACCTCTATAAAAGTAGTGATTGGGAAATAAGGGAAACCATGGACCTAAGTTTCTTTGGGCCTGGCTTACTTCACTTAATATAATTTTTTCCAAGTCTTTCCATTTCCTAACAAATGGGGCAAAGTCATTCTTTTTGGTGGAGGCATAGAATTCCATTGTGTATATATACTACATTTTCTTGATCCATTCATCTACTGAGGGGCATCTGGGTTGGGGCTTCCTTAAGAGGCAATCTAGGACCACCTCCTGAGGTCATCTGGAGCTTCTTTTGGAGGTCATCTCAGGTTACCTTGATAAGAAATATATGGCTGTCTTTGGACATCATCTGGAACTTCCTTGAGAAGCCATATAGGATGTCATCTATGGCTTTCTCAAGAGGGTTATCTTGAACCTTCTCTGGAGTTCATATGTGGCCTCCTTGAGTGGCCATCTGGAAGCTACTGGTGAGGTAATCTCAGCCTCATTGAGAGGACATCTGGGACCTCCTTTGGAAGTCATCTGACACTTCCTTGGGAAGCCATTTGGAACATCCATGAGAGGTCATCTAGGGCTTCCTAAGGAGGACATATGTGACATCCTCCAGAGGTCATCCGCGATCTCCTCAAGAGGCAATCTGGAATGTCCTCTCTATCATCAGGGACCTCCTATAGAGGTCAACATTGAGAGGTTTGGGGCATGTGGGTTAAGTGTCTGTGGCTATTGTTCTGTGTGTGCATGCTGATAGTTCTGTGTCCTGTATGACCCTCTGTTTACTCCTTTTCTCAGGATGGGAGAACAAGGCCTAAATTTGTCATATCCAAATAATATTCTCCCCCAGGGTTACAGAATCCCTCAGAGGAAGATGCACTGATGTACTCTTTCTCCTATTCTTTGCCATCAGCACCTCTAATGTTAAGTCCTCCCATGCGAAAATTGGTTACTTGTACCATCCTGAGGTGGTACAGTATGGTATGTTACCCTTATTACCCTTGAGACGGGAACATGGAGCAGATGGTGGGCAGGTCCCCTTTTTAATATATGGTCCCTTTACAACTAGTGACCTGTATTACTGGAAACAGCAAAATCCATCCTTTTCAGAAAAAAACAACAACCAGGGCTCATTACCTCATT